AATATCCACCAATATTGTTACTCCAACAATCAAATAATTCATTTCTCATATTGAAATCGATTACATGATCGATTCAGGAGTATCCTGATTTGAAATGTTCCAATGTTTTTTGATGACATGGTATATATATGTGAATATTTTCATCATAAATATACTATCAACATGTTGAGCCAGATGTTCATCTCATGATATTTAACAATTCATCCTTTTTTGAAATGATGATGGATTAAAAAATTTCCATTACGAATATATCATCAAAGCGAAGATCATATTTCAGATCACATTTATTTATATATATTCACAAATATTGCCCCTTCAACGTTTTCACTGAAATATTGAATTTTAAATGTTGAGACCTTCAATATTCCCGTCAAGACAGTCGATTTCATGATCGAATTAATACCATTCTAAGAAAGTTGTTGCGGTATACCCATTTCATGATATGTTATACTGATGTTAATGATAAAAAATTATGTTTAAAATGAAGAAATACATTTTGGATGTTGATTTTGTCAAGATAAAATATCCTATATCTTTAGAAATTTGCTCATAATCATTGCCGATTACCTACCCCTTCCACGTTCAATTTTACTTCAAGCAAAATATCTACTAGAAATATTATTACAATAATTATACCTAAATACACGATCCTCAATACATATTCGTGGAGACGATCAATTTCATGATAGAATTATGACCATTCGAAGCATAATAAATATATAGATGTAAGAACTTCACAAAAACCTATTGAAGGTTTTCAAAAAATATATTAAGACTCAAACTCACAAGAGCTTTATTTCTCAAATAAATTCCTTTTCATAACGAAAATATGTCGAAAATGAAGGAGTGCTTTTAATGAAAACAAGATAAATGACCTATAAATGACCGCTGGGTAAAGTAATGTCTGCCGGTGTTGCCAACTGGTGGTTTGAACGCGGATCTTGCCAAATTATATTATTGCCCTGGCAATGTCGGGTAACTTATCTCTGGAAATATATCATGATCAATATTTAAATTGAGTATTGTAATATATACCAAGTTACCTGATGGATACTCTGCATTCTTTTCAAGAAACCGATTCCTCATTTGAAATTTTTTCAAAAGGTATATAATATTCAATAGTACTTAATAGTATAGCTACTGATATATGGAAACGAGATATTGAATCGGTAGGTATAGATAATCGAATAATAATGTTCGAATGGTTAGGTATCTGGAATACAAATTGTCCCTCAAAATTATTCAGCTGATATACTTTTTGATACTGAGAAGGTGCACAATCTTGATACCAATGAAAATGGGTACATATAGTGTCATTGAGCAATCAAGCTTGATGTGGAAAACATTGGGAAATCTATTCTGGAAAGTGAATATTCCGAACAACAAAAAATAACTGGCAACACGGGTTGTATAATTGTGTATCCATCGCACAATTACGTCATGACATCAGAATGTTCCTTCGATCAACGATCAACAAACCCCAGTTTTTTTTCAGTTGGCGAGTGTTAGCTACCGACAATCGACATTCAGCTTTCCACTGATATGTATTATTATTCCTGTTCAAACGTGATACAGCGTGAAGTGGGATTATTGAAATCATTCGGCATTACCTAAGTAATATCATCCACCTATTCTGATGATAGTAAACAATAAATGATAATGATTGAAATGGAATCAGCCGAAAAGAACAGGCATTTCAAAATGGCGATAACAGGTAGGTCAGTTGAGATATATGGTCTTTCACTCATATACTCAGTGTGAATAACTCCATAACCCAAATGGTTATTCATTTCATATTGCTGTACCTATACATTAATTAGTTATGACCTGAGTTCACCTATCTAAGAGATATTCCTGTCTCTGTCCGTGAGGATAACCTATAATACCCCAATTCAATTGCAGGAACGAAGACTTCAAAAAATTGGGCCTCGTCAGAATTTCTCAACAAGATGAATCGGAAAGCAACCCTTTTTATAACAGTCTTGGAATCGAAGATCATTTTTTGAAAAAAGAAGAAACATTACGGATGTAAGTACAGAAATATCATGATAGTTACGTTACATTAGTTCCATGATGTAAATATCATGGATGAAACTCGCTTCAGTTCGGACTAATGTTTTGAATTATTTTTGTAACATAATAATTCATCAAATTTCAGCAATGATGGCTCCAAACAATTGGCCCTTATTACGTTCAATGGCTTGCTACAAAATGGACCAGGAAAGAACATTTTTGAGACCAGTCTCAGAGACTTGGAGTAAGAGGTAAATTTTTGTTAGAGAGGCTACAATGCAAAGAAATCGACACATACGTCCACTTACTCTATATGTTGTTCCATAAAGTGAGTAGTATGATTAATGTTTGTTGCTTGTTTTATTTCAGATAGGTGTTGTGGATTATTATTGAATCAGAATAGATTGAATTGCAGAAATGGCGGCTTCAAATCATTTGCCCCCGTTACTTACAATACTGACTCTCTTCGAACATCTCTCAAACCCACTAGTCTCGAAATCTGAGGAGAATTTTTGATCCAGGCTGAAGATAAATCGATACATTATGATGTGTGAGTACCGATGAGGTGAGTTTAATATCAACAATATATATTCAATCTGTAATTATACTTACATTAGTTTCCTAATGTAAATATGATGAAAAATTTGCGTTTTATTTTCGACGGTTATTATGAATCATTAACATAACGAAATATATTTTATTGCAGGAATGACGACTGTTGACCATCGTTTCTTCCAATACCAAGTCCACGAAATTGATCAGAAAACAGTCTTCGATCTGATGGCAAATTCAGTATTAGTACAATATCAAAATCATCTGTCATAATGCGTACGTTAGCTTCATGATGTAAATATAATGATTGAACTAATGACATCTCATGTCATTCTTAGAATCGAATTATAATGAATTTACGATGACGTTTGTAATTATATCGAAAAAATGCCATTCTTATTAGACATTGATTTTCAATCTATTACTCGACATATTTTTTTATACGTTTGTATTAAATCCAGCATGATACGAACATTTCAAGATGTGAATATAATGGTTATGAAAAGATCGTTTTATTTGATACATATATCCTCAATTTCCTGCTTTGCGAATAATATAATATGTTTTCTATTCATCCGATACGATACGTTATTCTGGAGATGAAAATATGACGAATGAAAAAGGACGTTTATACTACGCTGAAAGTTGGGACTTATCGCCCCAGAAAAGACCATTTCATTCCAGACAGATAATTTCCGTCCAGAAATTTACGTATTGTTTAATATTCTTGTGAATCATCTATCATCAAACGTTATTTCGAAGATGGAAATGTGACAATGATAAATTGACGTAGATACGACGCTGAATGTTGGGACTTATCGCCTCTGAGGAAACCATTTCTTTTAGGATAATTATTTTCAATCTATCAATTAACGTATAATATGGTATGTTTGTTGATCGTCTGATAGAAAACGTTATAATGAAGATGCATATAAGACTATACTGAATTGACGTTTATACTACGCTGAAAGTTGGGACTTATCGCCTCAGAAAATACGTATTTTGGATACGTTTGTTTGATGTTGACCATCATTTATATGACGTAAAATTGATATTTCATTCATGTTTCCGCGGAAAAAATGTTTACCGGGTATGGTTACCACATGGTTACAACCTGTTTGAGACAGAAAATTGTCGAAATATTGAATCAGTGTTCTCGTATAATAAAAAATCAAAGGGTGAATATTTCTTGATATCTAATTACTCGTATTCACAATTAACAATTAAGATATAAAACTTGATCAACAAACGCTTCGAAATTGAATAAAGAAGTCGATATAGATACCAGTATGGTAGATACTCATGAGCCATGCATTTGAGGTTGAGTAGATCTTCCTATCCTTGTTTGAATACTTTTCAAAGATTATTTGATCAGAAATACTATATAGTGTCGATATAAATCTCACTTATGACAAATTTATGCAACATTCACATCGTCCGCCTAGTCTTAGTTCTGAGCATAGTCTCAGTATTAATTTGTGTCTCAAAGATTTGAAGTATTCATCCAGAAATATTGAAACTTGATTGAAGCATAAGAGTCATGTGAGAATTTGTGGTTCTTTTTGTATCGAAGATGAGGAAACTCATATATCAAACCTATCAACATCTGAGCTTTCTCATAATATTACTTTCGGAACATGTAAACAACAAATCATCACCAATTCTATCAAAGGAGCATGCGCAGAGTCCACATAACATAAGCATATGCATAAAACTTCGAATTCATCAACTTTCAAGGTCGTTTCTTAGGCCTATTGTGCTTATGCTTAAGACTAAAATTGGTGTGTAAACCTCCTCGAGCTAGTACCTTGTTTCAACTTCTAGTTATGCTTTAAAGTATGACTAAGACTTTTCTCACAAATAATTAGTCCGATTACTCTGATTTGTTCTTATATATCACATGCAAAGTATGAACAGAAACCATAAAATCAACTCCCAATACTTCCGTCTCTGTGAAGAGACTAAAGCGAGACAGGGATAGGATAAGGACACAGATAATGTGCGAGCGCAGAGCCAGCATTCATGAAGAGACACATGAATACGATGTCGCGGGAGATTTAAAAGAATCTGTCGGTCCGGAAATCAGAGCATGCACTCTGTAGGTAGATCATTCATATAACATACCGATATGGATACTATATGAATTAGGTACGATACAAATGAGTACCTACGTATGTAGTATGAAGGTACCTATTTAAATCAAATACCTATATACCGTGCTGAGTCACAAAATCGACGGTCTACCGACGTCGTACATACAACGTCAATAAATAGACATAATAACGTCTCAACACTGACCAATGACGACTGTAACCAATTATCACCAAATAAAGACGTCGCCACGACGTGATGTAGTCAGCTGTCTACCAGGAGAGTTTGTTGATTTTGAAATAATCCATTCATTATTCATTTTATTTTCCATATCATGAGCTTACCTTGTGAAAGAACTAGTATTGGTTAGGTTATATTTCGTTGCCTCGGCCAGAATGACATCTGGACAAGAGTCATGGGTTCTGCAGCACATATCGAGATCTCTGAGGATTCCAAGGTCGGTGAAGTTTGTTGCTACGTTGCCAGTTCCACACCATTTTGTACCTGATTTAAAATTCAATTATATATTATCAATTGTGGTGGAAGTTCATATCGACTCAAAGTGGAGTGAATAGGATTCAGGAACAAGACACACTAAGTCATCTCCACAAATTCTTTATCATCAGAATTGTCTGAATTTATCTGAGGATGTTTTGTACTGTCGTCAGTCCATCATCAGCAGAAAATATTACAGAAAAATTGTGGATGATAAAACAGACGACAGCAATGTTTTGATATGGAAAATAAAAATATCAGTGAAGTCACAGTCCAATATCCGTGGATGACCAGGTGGTTTGAAAGCCTGCGTTTTTGGTATGTGCACTCTGCACTCCTTTTTTTTTTCAAACACGCAATTCTGCCTGGGTTATCTATTTTCGTTTCGTTCCAAATCTCAATCTGTATCACAGTGCTATTGTCATTTGGACAAAATGAAAGTTGGCTCGTCAGAAAGTCAACAATTGAAATGAGAATTTGATAAAACAATGTCCAGTTCCACCACTTCCACCAAGTAAACTATATCTATGCTCGGTGTTCTCATTAGGAATACATTTTCATAAGATAATTATGTCAGATTCATCGCGAAAGCTGCTTCACCAAAACTCAGATTTTTATCTCGTACCAAAAGCTACTTAACACCGCTAGAACTTCTCATGATCAAAAAAAGCACAAATACGGCCTGTTCTAGAATACTGTTCCCGCTATCACGACTAGCAATACCCGTCAGACGAACACGACAAGCGCAGTCAGCAGTCAGTATATTCTTACGTTGTCAACCTCGAAAAATGTCGAGCAGCATTTTATCAAAACTCGTTTGTCTATAGATAGTCAATGCTCTGAGGAAGTATTCTCAAAATTTCATAATCTCCAAGAGTTTTAAGAAACAACTACCTCCTTTCTTCATTTTCCCTAGGTACGCACGATGTTCTTCGAACATTATAGATATTTTCTTTCGTGCGCAACAAGCGATGAACAAAAAACCCTTCAGGGTGTTCTGCGGGAATATCCGAAGTGATCATGTTTTTACTTTACATATAACCACCTTGATCTTCGACATGAGCATCGCCTTCGAAACTCTGGTCGAACAAAAACTCGTCTAGGCTACCGTCGCTGGCGCAAGAACCCTAACCTCGCGACCAGAGCAGAATGCGTTGAAGCCAGGAATAACTACAACCAAACAATAGATGCATGAAAAAGATACGATGTCCAAAGGAAATCAAAATTCATTGATTGTCCCAAAGGACCCCGTTTGTTCTGGTTCCTTTCTGAAGCAGCTGGAAGCATTTTTACTGATAGTTCATTCTTATCACTGTCCAGAGCCGACGGCACATTGAAAACAACATCGCAAGAGAAAGTGAATATTTCAGCAGAAATGTTCTCAGCAAACTCCACCATAGATTCTTAGTGAAGAGTGACGCCAGACATTCCACCCTTCAAAAGTCGAATGCCCGAAATCGTCTTTCGTCAAAGCACTATCAAACGCCTTTTGCTTGGTCGCGAAACTAAAGGCATTAGTTTCCATATAAGATTTCCATCATTATTCTCGGAATATGTGCACCAGGATTGACACCGGTTTTCTGCAAATGATTCTCCACACCGCACAATTCGGGTATTCTGCCATCATTCTGGAAACTAGCTAGAGTCCCACCAATCCCCCAAAAAGGAACCAGAAACCTGCCCACCATATACAGGCCTTATGCTCTACTATAAGTTTTAACCAAAGTGATAGAGAATGCCATCAACATATGGCTCTCGTCACCAAATAAAACCTAGAGATTTTCTGGCCTACGTCATCCATATATGGCAAGCTCCATCAGAAGAACATAATGACTCTCAAGCTGTGGTGTGAGGCATATCTAAAACATCCGACCGTGTTTAGCACCACGAAATCCTTCACAAACTACCAACGCACGGCTAACTATCTCAGCTATAACATGTTTTATCGAGTTTCATTTCAGACAGATCGCTTCACGTGGTGGTAGACGCAGTATCGTCTAATACCTTCAACTTCAGTTCTGGCGTTTCACAAGGATCAATTTTTGCACCATCTGTTGGTAGTAAACACTTGCCCTATCCACAGCAGATGATAGTACTCTTCATACTGCCTGTTCTTTCCAGGAAAATGAGAATTCACGGAGAAGGCAGGTCGATGCAGACATTGATGATGAAGATGATGAAATCCTAGTTTGATTCAACGCCATCAAAACCCAGGCCTGTATTTCCTCTAGAACGGCGGAACCCAGTATGACTGATACAACAATGTCTGGTACCATCATTTCTACTATATTTATGCTTGGTATTTCTATTAGCAGATTCTCTTTTTCATGAGATAATCATGTCAGATACATCGCGAAGGCTGCTTCATAAAAACTCAGATTCTTGTTTCGTGCGAAAGGCAACTTCACACCTCAACCGCTTCTCGTGGTCTACAAAGCACAGATACACCCTGTTATACAATATTGGTTCCATATAATGAAATGGGAATCAGCACCCAAACATAACCAGCAAACATTAATACATAGTTCATCACTTCAGGAGCAATGTCACCCCTGGTCAATCAGCCAAGGATCAGAGGATTATGCTTTTGTTGATTGATATTCTAATTTCTGGAATACCTGGAACATAGCCAAAACTTGAGAACTCCTCTTCTTTGGGATCTAGAATGAACTATTTGTGAATTCCAAGTAAGCTATTAATCATAACTGCATAATACATAGCCTGCTGCGAGAATGGTCAGGTGTAAACAAGGACTCAAGTAGAAATACCTTGATTCCTTTGAGGACTGAAACTTCATGGTAGAGGTACTATACAACATATCACCATTGATGTTCTCGAAGAAGATAATCAGTTACATCTTAATAAGTTATTTCGATTTGATGAGATGAATAATATTGCACTCATAAAGGTAAAACTTCATTCTCATCCACTCGTTCTTTTCGCATCTTACATAACAAATAACGTCTCATGCCCAGATGGATGAAAAAAACAAAATGGAAGACATTGTGGAAACCAAGTGGAAACAGATTAATTGTCGATTGTTGAATAAATGCTCTCAATAACAGGCATCTGATGACGGTCCATTGCCATTTTATTGATGACTGAATGACATAAGGAAACCTATATCCTTCATTCATCGTTCAACCAGTACTGGTCCAGTGATCTTTGTAAAATTGATTATACCCATTGATTCCCTAATGCCGTGAGAATAGTGTAATCTTGATCCATAGGAAAAACACTATTGTATCAGCACAAAGAGACTGAAACATACGTATGATGATTGAGAGAGCAACGAATATGTACTTTTACGTCACCGAAAGCTAGTGTCAGCAGTATGCCATCGAACTAATCAATGGGTCATTGCACCGCCAGCTATGTTCTGTTTGTTGAGTACGCTGATGCTATCAGAATCAAGCCATTCGCCTGGTGGATGATGCCACACTCACTTACTCTTCGACATCATCGGAAAAAAGTGAAAAAGTCAGCGACCTTTCACTTCTCTCAAAACTCGTTCGTTACGTTTGTTAAAAAAAAACAATACTTACCTATCCTCTCCATATTCTTCCTAGGTACGCACGATGTTCTTTCAGCATTATAGGGATTTCGGCTAGTGCGCTTCAAGTGATAAGAAAAAAATACAGTGTGTCGCACTTCTGATGGATACATCCTTGTATATTTCCTACTACTACTACGTTGATGTATCATGAGGACTATTATTTCGAAATTGAAAATGTCATGGGAGATTTTTTGTGTAGAATCATCGCATCTCCTGATTTGCATCGAAGAATTTGGGTCGTAAAATTAATTAGATTGGAGGAAATTCCGATGGAACATTTCCGCGCTAGAATTTTGACTCTGAAATTCTTGCTATCTAGAGGTTTTTTGAGACATCATTCAGGACACCAATATACAGATCGTTTATCGAATCGTTACATTTGTTTTGTCTCTTGGAGCGCACGAATGGGGAGGCCTATAGAAGAATTAAGAAAGGATAGCAACTTGGCAGTCACGAAGAGTATAGCGGTTGTGTTTCCCTGTGGTTGCCTGATCTACATACGATAGCCCTATCAATCTCTCTAGCTATGTTGCCATTCACATGCCTCATGTGTAACGATTTGACAAACAAGCTGTATAGCTAACACTTCACTCATACCTTAGGGTATAATTATTCGGTATCAACAAATTTCAGTGGACTGACATGTATCCGGCAATCAATATCATTGCTTAAGTAATTCTGGAATTCTGGTTGAATATAATTTTCATACCTGGAAAAATTATCGGTCCCATAATATTTCGACTGAATCTCAACAATTGGTTAACTGCATCCATATTCTGAAATCCTTCTGTACAACCTAATAACAGATGTAAAACAATCGATATTCTCACCAAGAATGTTTTCATAGTGTTTATCGTAAACTTATTGTATATGAATTCTCATACATCTAGAATGAAACAATGATAGTGAGAGCATCTGAATAGAATACATAGAAATATATTATACGGTTGAATAGCTATCTGTCCATTTCGAAAACCCAAATCCATATTTATCATACAAGGTGATCTGAAATTGTGTTCCGATATTCCTTTGGCTGACTATACTGAGAATTATGAGTATTGTATGAGGTATCGACCTTCAATATGTGGTGACACTGCGAATAGGTACTAGGTACTGGGTAGAATATCTTCACCACTCCTCGTACTATGTAGGATGTTCCTACAATTCGTCATAACATACTAGGGTTGTTGGTCCCCTATCGATTCATAAGGGGTTTGCTTGGCTTGATATTTTGTAATATGGAATATTCGAATGAGCACTGATAAATTAGGAGAAGATGAGAGTACGAGACGATATTTGAACATAGCAATAAGTATTTATTATAGCGAGAAACATCACAATATGAATATCCCAAAACATTTCACATTATCATGACCATATTGACGAGTTCTTGTCAAGTCCAGAGTAGCCTCAAACATAATAGCTTCGCCCATACCCAATATTCATTGTCATTAGTCTTGCACATTTATCGCATGAGAGATGAATTGGTCAGTTTTCATAGTTCAATGTCAACAGATTAAATATGATATACTTTATATTCATGAAACTCTCATGATTCCCGTACAGTACATGACATTCTATTCACCGACATGTCAGGCGACAAAATCATCCTCTCAGCAGACTCTCTAAGAGCATCAAACCTTCGCATGTAACAAGACTGCTCAGTAGTGCCTGCAAGAATTGATCCATTGCTCAGTGAATCAGAACTTCAGTTGAAGACTTTTGTGAACCTTTCTCTGCCAATCTAGAATCATTGAAATTGACTGATAGCCCTAGCAGCTCAGGCAACCCAACCAAAGAAGAAGGAGAACAACTGTCATGACTCAAACTCACTAATATACCAAATATTTTACTCGTGAAAATACCTACTATTTTTGTTTGTGATAACATAGATGGGTTTGTTCAGGTTTTTTCAGTAAAAAAAATCATGTGACATGATATCCTTCCTATGTCAGCACGATGTTCCTCGAACATTATAGGGATTCCCTTTCATGCGCACCAAGCGATAAAGAGAATCTTCAGAAGGGGCGCCACAGCAGCTGTCGATCAGAGAAAGAATTTTTCATTTTTTGAATAGTTGTGCAACCAAATAATTTCATACGGATGTTAACCAGCTAATGAATCAAATTAGATCATGAAACAAACAGGTTTATCTCTCCATGGAGGCGCAGATCCAGACCAATGTTGAATAATGAAATATTTCAAATTCGACAGGTACTTCAATGATTCATAAAATGAGCAAAGTTATTAATTTTATCAGGATTTCTGCCGCAATCTAGTACTAAAAATTGAAATTATAAGTATAAGTGGGATGTCATATATGCTTATCAGAACCAAGAGAATATGAATATATATTGAAGATGTTGAATACGAAGAAGAATAAATAATATGAAACACTCTGGCCTGCTTATGATCCTTGTGCTTCAACTTTATCTGTAACACCATGGGGATGAAGGAGTAAGCCTTTTCGACTCGACTGCCTTCAGCTGATGTTGGGTGGCTTGAAGGTGATGCAGAACCTCTGGATGTACTCTCGGTTGACAGCTAAACTGCACTGCTGGCACATGGAAAATCTTCAACTGTGGCGTTAGATATATCGAAGGCATTCGACCGTGTCTGGCACCAAGTATACTCCTCCATAATGTTTTTGATCATTTATTTCAACAGAACACTCGAATAACTTGTCTTGAATCAAAATGCTTTGAAACAAGATCGATGATTTTCATTTTGAAACTATACGAAGTGAGAAATGAAAAATTTTCTACTGATAATATGAACAACTTGATCTGAGTAGAAATATCTTGTCTCAATGCTAGGCTTTCATTCTACTTGTTCTATTTGTTCCTGACATGACACTTGCAAATGAAGAAAAATCATATTTTTTTTCTGATTTAACCGTGATATCTTGAAATAAATGTATTATTTGTATTGGTTTGAGGAAGAATATCACATTTCAATATATCCTATGAATTATGTTTGAGACATCTCGGTCTCATCATTTCAAGGAGTCCAGATTGTTCCTAAGATCGTGTAGATTTCTTGAATGAAATTTATTTTCTGATGCTACAAAATGTCAGAGTATGGTGTGTTTGGTTCAATTCTGTGGTTTGGTGCTACACAATATCTGAGCGATTGCAGAATGAATACTAATGAGTGAACGTCTCCGAGAGTAAACATTTCAGGAACTTGTGGTATAAATTGAGAATTTCCGAGGTAAGTGAAAATAGGTACCTATACCTTTAATATTCAAATAGAAAAAAAGGAAAATTCAATATCAAGTAGGTACTTGGTGGTTTGCTTGGTGGTTAGTTTAATGCGAGGTATCAAGTAGAATACTTTCAGGAAATCAGTAGACATATGATTTATGAACCAATGAAGAAATAATCAAATCAGGTTTCGCAATCTGATGTCTCTATGAAAATCATTACATCTTGAAATAAAGATAGTCGGATGCAGTTATTCTGTATCTTTCATTCAAGAATTTCATACACCTCTTTGAGTATGTATGACCCCAATCCACAGCTTTGCAGATGATAGTTCTCTCCATACTGCGTTCTCATCTAGAGTCATTATTTCTTCCAAACAAACTGAGAAATTACGACGAGAGCAAATCATCACTGTCATTCAGGATCTTTCTGAAATTTGAGCCTAGGGAACCAACAACTCAGTTGAATTGAACGCCACCAAAAATCAAGTATGTATTTTCTCTAGGAGGGCAAAACTCATTAAGCCTGATCAAATTATATCTGGTACAAACATTTTCACCAAGTCTACCTTATCGCATCAATGCACTCCAATGAAATGTATAGCTCCTCAAGAACGTTCACATTTGGAAATATTCCGACTAGGAAACCCCGTATATTTCATTCAGAGACGATATACTCACCAAGTTGGTGATTCCACACTCACCAAATCCTTGACATTTTTGAAACACCGTAGAACATACTTCACTTTTTCTATAGATACTTTCACGAGAAATGGTCTACACAAATCTATATGCAATCATTCAACAGAAAGTGTAGATAACAAACATTATATCACCCAACAAATGCAGTTACTTTCTCAACTCGCTGAATAAAGTGATTGACATACATTTGATAGTTATTCATTATACTAGGTGAAAAAGTATCATTAGATTTTGGCTCGAGGTTGCGTTGTCTCCCGGCACGAAGCGTAACGACTGATGTGACAGAAAAATAAACGACGATACTATATTGAGAAGATAATATCACATCATAATGGAATCAGGAAAATCCATATATCTATATATCTATCTATGAAATTCTGAGTTTTCATCTGGAAGGCTACCTGTGTTGCAGGCATCTTCTTGTACTCAATTTTTCTCGTGGAGAAAGATTAATTTTATGAAAAGTGACATTCTGTAACCTGCGAACAGAGATGCCAAACATTTTTTCCCTCACAAGAAAGATATTCGCGAAGAAGACATTATCCCATTTCAGTTGCTTTTGGTTTCAACTCGTAATCACATGACGAAAGTATGTCCGGAATAATGGCAGCAAATAAATAGCTGTACTATGGATTTGTCTCAAACTGAGGAGTGGCAAATGCACAGATAGATTCTTGAGATCTACCAATAAATTGGTATCGGACGGCATGATTCTAATCTCGTTATCAAATCGCGAAATCAAGTGCGAATTATTGAACAGGCAAGTTCAATTCTTCAATCATTTTGCTAAGGAAAGTGATTGGCACATTGCCACTGTTGCCAGGGTGGCAACCGGGTGGGACTAATTCCCACCCACCTTTCACAAAACTCTTCTAGGGGATGACTCCCGGTCACCTGTCCTTCGACTTATACCGACAGCACCCCAGGGAGAAATGGAAGATTTGGATACGCCAAATCAGCGCGATAGAGCCATCTCCGTTATGTAACGGCATGTTCTCCTGCTACCATTTCATTATACCAATGGTGAGGCCGTCGGATAAGACAGACTACTGACTTTGCAGTGTCAATGCCCGAGCAGGAAACGCTGCTCACTCGCCGAGGCAGGCAAAATATCCTTCCACTTGACCCATAGTGGGATTCTTCTTCACCTCCTCTATCGTAGTCCGGTGGTATTCTTCGAAAACCGCTGCCCCCTGGAGGTCAACCTGATTGGTGAGGCATCAGGTCTTGCAACCTGATGGGGCTATCCTCATCTCCCCAGGTACCCATGTCAACAAGATTTCTATCATCACGTTTGATGGGTCGCCGTCGCAAGAGACTTTCTCCTGATTGCTACTCATGTTGACAAGAATCCTCTCGTCTCGTTGAATGAGTGATTGTTCGAGGACTTTCACACGTTCCTCTACCTCGTCCACAGGAGAGGACGTGGCTTTACCTATAATGTCTGGCTATAGGATCGCTTGGAGCTATCCCCTCCCTGACGAACTAAGGCACAAGGTACACCAAAGTTCCAGTTTTTGCTGAGCAAGCCATCCCTTGGACTATTACAACCTCCTTTTCCTATCCTTCCTGGGTACGCACGATATTCTTCGAACACAATAGGGATAGGGGAACGATATTTATTTGAAGTTAGTTCAATTTTCAATTATAAACATAAAGAGGAAGTGAAACAATGGAGTTGATACATTTATTTATCTATTCATTCAATTCAATACGATATATAGGGTTCTTGTATGAAATCGTCGAAAATCACTTTTTGTTGTTTGAAGTGTCTCGGATTTTCCAGAACTTCCATCGTTGCATTGATATTCAGGTATAATAGACCGGCATTAGACTTTGGCCAAGATATATTATTCAACAAGGCATCATCTTCTGGTGTAGGATTACTGAAAGCATAAGAGAAGTAAATGGTGACTTCGCGCTAGGAACCTAATTTTACTTGATATATTCCTCTAGGAAGATAGCAATGAATCAAATAAAGCTTTACACCTCAGAATGATGAGGACTTGAAATATCACACAACTATGACACATGAATAAAAAACACACAAAAATACTATTTAGGAAAAATTTTATATGAACACAAATAACGCACACAAGAATTTCATCAAAAATAATCATCATAACACCATAAGATCATAATAAATATTAAAATAATATTCATCTTCGAATGCAATATTTATGAACATAGTGGAAATATATAATAATATATATTATGGTGTGATACTCATGTATCCAGAATTCGTCTCTTCTGCGTATAACGTTACGAGTCTATACTTGCACAAAACTGATCACGGCGACTTAGGCGAATTGATATCTGTGAGCTCAGACTGTGAGCAATTGTTTTACTTGCAGTGACGTATATGAATATGGGTCGTAGCACACCATACTAATTGTACCATAATCATAGAGGAAAACGGATAATTAAATATCAATTATTTCAACATAATAATATATCTCATAGTTAAAACATTTATGAATAGATGAACCTATTCATTATATGATTATCTCCTATTCCTCAGTATTGTCAAAGTATGTACATTCCAAATCGAACTTTTTCATGAATATAACTAATTGTACAATCCAGATCGAGTGTCAGAACTTTCCAAATATAAAAAGAGGTACAGATTTTTTTGGTTTTAGTTTGAATTCCATGCACGCAACAGACTTACCTTGCTCGAGACGCTCTAATCAACGATTACTCATGATTTAATCTCACCTATCTGTTGCTTTGAAAACGTAAAATAAGTTAGCAACGGTTAATTTCGATTCATAAATTGGTCACTTCATTTTTGTTCGAAATGGCAAACTATTTCATTTCTGCATCAAAAATCAGAATGGCACCCTAATAACACACGTTATCCAGACGACATCCATTTTATATCCATTTGCCGTCCAAGACATCCATGGACGCCAAATGGAACTATCTTTTGATGTACATTGTTGTATATCCAGCTGATGATCTAGTATGTACTCCATCTGGAAGCCTATCTATGTCCATGGACGCACATCGAATAGCCACTTGGATGTCCATACCGGATACTTGGCAGTACATATTGGACATCCATAAGTGTATTGTCGGGATGTCCATTGTAGCGAGAAATTTTGAGAAGAGTGAAATGAGAAGAAGAAGATCTGAATTAATCTGTCAGAATTCGAAACATAATATAGGTTATGTTTATTTCATTCATTCATTTTGGTGGACTTTCATGATAATTACTAGTATTTTATAGTTGAATTATGCCCCAGTTTCCTGCTTTATACGGCCTTCATACAAGTAAGTTCTTATTATTTCTGTGTCTATTCAGTTGTTCCTAATTGCGAATTGTTACGATAACAACATATTTCTTGGATAGGTAGGTAAAACACCCTTCACCAGAATGAACAGAAGGAAAAGGATTTGAAACAGGTTCTTCCGACGTATCTATATACTATAAAGTAGAAAAAAATTCATCGGATGTTGACAAACTCTTGAATGATACGACAACAGATGATGTGTGGGCAAGAATCACTGATAATTTCGCAGATTGAGGAATTTTCATCTTGGGGCCAATTATCTTGCTCATCGACCTAAACTGACGATACAAATTTATGGAACACCTTTTTCACTACATGTGGCTCTTGCATGATGAGGCTCCAACACATTACACTCTGAATGTCCATTGCTGTTTCATTCAACAGTTTTCAGATAATAAGTAGATGAAACGGCAGAGGAAATATACTATAGTTTATGGGGAGCAGTACCTATACATTTTAAGGTGTACTTCAGACCAGTAAATACTGAACAGGAATTATGGAAGCAGATTCAGAATGCATTGAATATTTTCAAAAACAATGCAGAAACGATGCAAAATATGCATTTCAGTTTTTGTGCTGCAAGTGCATTGGACCACTTCTTTTCCAATTTATCATCCTAAGTAGGTACTATCTATTTTCTTATCATATTATATACTTCAGGTTTCACCCATGAACAATGTTTGAAATAAAAGAAAATAACATAACCTGTCTTTTGAATACGTATAGGTTGGTATATATGTCCAATATATGGACACCATATGGATGTCCATAATGGACACCAAATGGATGTCCATAATGGACACCAAATGGATGTCCATCATGGATAACGTATGTATGTCCTAAAATGTGGAAAGCTGATTACCTATGGACATCCATAGGATGTCCTGTGTACACAAAGTGGTTATCCTATGGATGTCCAGGGTGTCCGGGTGAGGATATCCATTGGATGTCCAATGGATGAAGGTGTGTTATTAGGGCACATTATATCCATTTACAATTTTACAATTAGTGAGAAGTATAACATTCCTATATTTTGGGCGAAAGCAGAAGATGTGGATGAAATGGTATATTGTCTAACGAGCACGGAATAATAGTAATTTTCCACGAGAATGAATGAGAGTGAGAAATTAGCATTTCGTGCGAGTTATACACTGAACTTATCCTACGACTGTAACAGATGTCAGCAAAATTTTTCATTTCTCTGACACGTAGCCATATGATTATCTATACAGGGTGTTCCATAATTGGATGTCAATATTTGAGAAGGCGATTCTTGAGTCCATTCTAAGAAGGAAGGTTCATATGAACGTATGACCTAAACGTGAGATACAGGGTGGTAAAGTTCTCAAAAATGAATCGTTTTTTCAATAATATCTGTAATACCACTTCAGATATTCTAATGGAATTTTGCATCCATGTACTATGTATCAAGAGGCATCAGTGAAGGTTCTACATCTTTTCTCGTTGCCACTAGTGGCGTTCGTATGGAATTTCTGATTTGCCATTGATTAATCTCGAAATTGAAATCATTCCTGAAATTCCCAATCGTTTCTTAGCAAATTTGATCACTACAATTTTTTCAATCTGATGCATGGTTTTCGGTTAAGAAATGAAAAGCTTCTCACTACATGATTATAGCAATATCGTTAATATGACAATATCACAATGGAGAGAAATACATTTAATTTTTCAGATCAACTTTCAGAAATACAATTCGAAGTTTATGAAGATCGTATTCGTATTTAGTATTTTGGAATTATAACTTTTCATTGTAGTAGGCTATATTAATTTCTGAGAACTTTACCACCCTGTATCTCAAAAGTTAGGACGATTAGGTCATACGTTCATATAAAACTTCCTTCCCAGAATGGGCCCAAGAATCGCCTCCTCAAATATTGACATTCAATTATAAAAAACCCTGTATATCTTCAAGTAATGCTTGATTTATTGACATTCCATGGGAGATTAGATTTTGAGAAATAAAAACACAATGAAGTCATTGTGATATCAGATACGGAAATAAAATTGAGGACATAAAAAGTACCTCACTGACTTATCGAACACAGTAAAATAAGCACAATTTTATGTTAGAGCCGCAGAAAAAATCTACTCATGTCTTGTAGTATCAAGCCAATTTTTTTATTCCGGCTCAAGGATTTTTCTCATATTCATTCCACATTATGTTCACAATATAAATACATCGAGTTTAGTAACTCGAGCAAGAAGACAAAACAGGCCTGAACTCTCAACATGAATATTATTTGAAATGTTCATATCAACTTACTAATACTTTATGAAGTTTGTCCATAGTTTGATGAATCTGAGATGCATGAGCTGATCCTCAACTGGGAAATCATTGAGATCAGAATTAGAACCGTTATCCCAAACGTAGCGCAATTCTTCTTCGTGGCCAACTGTACCACAACCTGTGAAAATTTGTCTACATAGTTTCTACAATATATTAGTGGTGGATGGTTTCTAGTACATTGATCAACTCGATAGAGAATGTATCGAAATCTCGTATTAGTCGATTTCAAGACTCGATAAGATATACATTCCCTAACACCACCAGTACATCCTAGGGACTTCTCATGGACGTCCCTGATTTTTTACTAGGACATCCCAGGGATGTCCTTTGTCGGGACAACGTACATACTAGGGATGTCCCATCAGGGACTGCTGAAAGCCGCTAAAAAAGGCATCCTTCTGGTACGTCCCTGGGATGTACCAAGTAAGATGAAAGGATATCCCTAGGACGTCCCAAGGATATCCCAGGGACATCCTTTCGACAGAAGAAAAAAGTTGCATGTCGAGTAGGGATCGAACCCGGGACCTTTGGCTTATCATGCACGCACCTTGCTCCATTGGCTATCATGCCTCCTGAAGATTTATGTACTAAACAGATTTATAAACAGGACTTAACTACAGAAACTTGAATAAATACAACTTCATTAGGAATTGGGTATAATTATTATCATTCTTGGGTGTTTAAAAATGAGGGGCATTATGCATGTACGATTTCTGTCTGCGAAAAATGGTTAATTTCTTAAGAAATGCCTAGACTTCATTCTTTATTTTCATTACAATCATTTTCTGGAAGAGAAACAATCATTTTCGAAAAAATTCAACTCAATAGTTTGATGAAATTCAATGACTCTGATGTGAATGGATATCAGATACTCCAGGGACACGAATAGGATAACCTAGGGATGTACCGGGCAGGATGTCCACTGGACAACCACTGCAGGACATCCCCTGGATGTCCCAATCGTGTCCCTGTACCGCGGGACAAAAAAAGGGATGTACCTAGGACATCCCTGTGTTGTTAGGGTTCCAATATGATGTATTGGAAATTCAATGTTCCGATATATGGAACTGTTCATCTAATCAGATTGTATATCATTTGGTTGTGTTCAACATTCTTCAACTATACTCCAAGGTAGATGAAAATGAAGTAATCACCTGGAACGATCACTGGTGGATTATTCTTTCCTCCTAAGTCTCCCTTATAAGAAAATTGGTAGAGGTAATGAGGAGATTGGGTGCTTCCTAATTCAACTTGCTTACAGATAGGAATTATTATCGTCCTGTCACTGGTCCACTATAAAAAAACATTGACCGTGAATTTCATGAAAATCTGATGATGAGCACGACAATATGATTTTGTAGTCGAAATGGAGATGATGACATGATATTATATCTCATTCTCACCCTAACAAATGCTCCAAGATCTTCTTCGAACGAAGTGTTCGTGTAAACCTTCATCAACAAAGCTCCAGCGATGCTTCTGTTTTGCGGAGACATGTGAAACGTTGTTGGAATTAATAAACTCGGATCCTTGTCATATTGTCTCCGTGTTTCAATATTTTTACTTCCCCCTGTGAGTAACAAAATAATAGATTATATTATTAGGATCAAAAGTGACATCTATTTTGATAAGCGAAGCAGCCGAGTAGAAGCAAAATTTGCGAGTCAATCAAAGTCACTTTTTATCCGAATGAAATATGCTGCAACCAAAAGAATCAACCTAAATGAATATTAGTGAACTGACAGATTATTATAATAATATGAGTAAGTATAGGAAGAAGCAAGGCCTCACTACATTTTCTTGTTACAATTTGTGTTGACATGTCATCAGATACTACATTACAGGCATGAATTCAAAACTACCCGGAACGTGGATGCCGTGCCATATTATATATTAGATTTAGATTTAGAATGGGGCCTTCGGGATCTGCCTCCACACCGCAACCTTTTCAGATCTATTGTGTCTGCCCTCAAAATCGATTAGAGTTCTTCGGCTAGCCACGCCTTTTCTATGAGACTACATAGGCTAGCTTTCAGATCCCCTGTGTATCTTTGGGCTTCTGGTTTTTTCTCACCCAGCGTAAGGAATCTTAGTCTTGACAAGCCCTCACAGTGGCAAAGTATGTGTACTGATGTTTCCTCCTCTTCCTGACAGAACCTGCTTAGCAATTCTTCGGTCAGACCTATCGTAGTCATGTGTTTGTTGAGCCTACAATGCCCTGTGAGAAGTCCCACTAGTATTTTAGTTGAACTTCGTTTCAGGCTCAGTAGATATTCTGTGAATGTTGCGATGGTTTTTTAATAAACTCTTTTGCCTGTTTCATACCTGGCGAGGTGTTCCACCATTCTTCAGATTTGGTTTGCATCCATGATTTGATAAAAGTCTATTGTATAGCTTTCGCAATACCACAGAAGGGTTCTGGGCCATTCAGAGCCATGTGTATGCAATGCAACAAATAATTCCGTGTAGCGAGAATAACAGGACTTTTGAAATCACTTGATTTATGGAACGTTGTTAAAATTATGTAGATAAGTTTCTTAATCAAGGTTATCACAGAAGAACTCATCCAGATCATAGTATGCTTTGCCAAATAGGATTGTATTCAACTTTATATTCGAAGCTTTTTTTCTAGGGTTTTCATCCATTGCAAAGGTGATTTGTTCCTTTTTTCTTCAGTATGCCTATTGTTCTTCTATTATCACTATGGTCAGGTGTGCTAACTTCAAATAGATCATGGATATTTTTCATGAATATTTTTGATCCTAGAAGATACAGTGTGCCTCACTTCTGATGGAAATACCCCTGTATCTATGATAATTGATGAGCAGTATTCTGATATTTCCAGGAGAGAAAAATATACTGAAATTACACACTATAACCCAGTGAAGTCATCCTCACTGGAATACAGTGCTCGCCAACAAACATGGAACCACCCACATTTCCGGAAAATGATATTAGGAGACAAGGTAGATTGAAAATCACTTCGGAGTCGTAAACCGGACCTCCAGTTCACTGGTTTTCAATATTTTGCCTGAACATTTTTCAGTTCTGAGAGATTTTGCCTCACTGCAAATGGAAGTACCCCCGTATCTTATGTGGATGACGTGATCTTCAGCTCCTCCTTTTTTCCTCCAAATTTCAGAACCCTACCTCAATAATTACGTAAGATACGGGGGTGCTTTCATGAAAACTGAGAGAAAATTAGATTTTTTAGATTTGAACATTTTTCCAGGAAGAATTTGAATAGATAGTGAATTGGACGTCCTGATTTCGAATCCGAAGAGATTTTCAACCTATCTCGCCTCCTAACATCATTTCACAGAAATGTGGCTGGTTTCATGGCTGTTGGTGAACAGTGTAAGAAATTGAAGATGACACCACTCGGTTATAGTGTGTATATTCTCATTATATCTCCTGCTCCTGCAAATTCCAGACTCCTAACTAAACAATAACGGTAGATACAAAGGTGTTTCCATTAGAAGTGAGACACACTGTATATAAATATTTATTCTAGTTGATTTTTCGTTTTCAATGAAACTGTTCTTGCATCTATCACTGCAACTTGAACGATATCTATACCTGATAGATATCTTCTGTAGAATTAGAATTCGTTGAGAGTTGACTGAGTTTTCCAAGAAGATTATTCCATAGCAACTTGGTGACTGTACCCGGTGAACAACTAAGAACGACTGTCATATCTATCATTTTTCCAACTTTGATAGTAAATATCTTCCGTTGGCGAAGAGCTATCATGTTGCGGTTTCCGTTGGTCTGTTGAGATTGAGTTCCTCCATGGACGTATAAACAAAGAAGGACCCATTTATTTACATCGTAATGTGAAGTCAGAGAATACGGTCACAGCATATCACCTGATGATGAATTGGAGGTTGTCACGTCCTGTCGCTAATAATTCCTAACCTCAGTCTAATCTTCTCAAGTATTTTTACTTACCTCTTTTGTAATCATCTATTCAATTAGATGTTCATTATGATCCAATTCATAAAACTCAAGGAATAAATCATATGTCCATAGATAGTCACAATCAAATATTATAAAACTGTCGTTATAAGTTATTTCAGAGTTATTTTGTAAAGGTTACCGAGATTATACACAACCGACAACGCCGCTGCAAAACATGCTCGTTTCGTGATGTTTCGTGCTTTCGGCGAGTTTGGCGTTGTTCGTTTGTGTTAATGTGTTTGAGGAAGTTGATTGTTTCCGTTGTTTTTGAGTGAATTCTCCTATTTTTTTTTTGTGAAAAGTTGATAGACAGAGACTAATAATGGTGTTACACTGCTGGATTTGCAAAAAAACAAATATATAATACCCAAATTTCACCTTCCATTCGTTAGTACTATTTGTTTACATCATGTTTGAATTAGAGTTTCATAGGCGTAACAATTATTATTTTCATCAAATTGAGAATGCGAAGTCTCGATGTATTTCTTCATAATATATGTATATATCCATTTTTTTACGTACATAATTTATCTGAGAACATTCCTTTTCAATGCTTTTCTGTAAAGAGGAAGTTGTACTATGATATAAAGCAATAATGCAAGGGCTCGTGCAAGGGTTTCGTAATCCCTGATTTTTCACGGTCATTTTTCATTTTGAGTGGATGAAAAAAATTGTACATATTCATGAAGATCTCATGAATGTTCCTGCCGTCTTACTTTTCCGAAATTTGATTCGGTTCTTGTGAAAAAAATTTTGAAAATCATCAAAAAACACGTTATTTTGCGATTTTTTTCAGAAAAAACTGAATCAAATTTCGAAAAAGTGAGACGACAGGAACATAGATTAGATCTTCACAAATATGTATTGATTCATTGATTCACTCAAAATAAAAATGAACATAAAATGTTAGGGACTACGAAACCCTTGCATGGCAAAAATTTATGTCCAGAGAGTGGCGCCGCTCTCAGAATTCATAGGAATTAACATTTATGAAAGGAGATGAAAGATACATTCCTTATTTGCAATGTTTACGAGGGTCTGGCATGTGTAAAAAATTGAAATTTCATAATTCCAGTGGGATATCATATCATCATCATTTCTTATCATTTCAGACTGCTCCATATACCTAGAAATTCAAGAATATACGGCGCAATGTTATGGTGAGGTTCTCAAAATTGACATTCAATAATAAAATCCGAAAAATAAATAATAATTGTGATTAAGTATATATAAATATAAAAAATCATGCGAATTGAATTAAATGCTCAGTACACTATACATGAATTATATACATGATGTCTCATTTCCTAATGAGACAATTTTTCCCTTGTGATAATTTAATATTGTTAAATATTCATTGAACTATCTACATTTGTTTCTTATCCTTACTACAAGGTTCACTTCGTAAGGTTTTTTCCAGTTCATTCAAAATACCTATTTGTATGTTCCAATGTATATATTTTGTAAACGTTTTTGAATAAACTTATATTATTATTATCAATATTTCTTGAGTTCAAGAATCATGGAATATTTTGAAAAATAAAACGTTATAAACGTTCATTAACGCGTATAATTTGAATTAGGATAACCTCGGGAATAATAAGGACAGTCGAATCAGAAACAATTGTGGAAACGATAGAAAATCTACTGCCATCCAGTTATGGGCATATCAAAACAATATTTATCGAAATAAAAAAGGATGCACTCCTTTGTGGATATCAAAGTTTTTTCGACAACGATTCATTAGCGCTGCGGTTTGACAGGCGTCTGTCATTATTAATATACATTTGTGATGTGATAGAAATTGTAGTTATCTAGCTCCTATAATTCTATATTTTTTATTACTTATTCTTTTATTTTTGTGTTATTTGCATAACATGTCATATAGAAGCAAGTATATAATGTATTATAGTTTCAAAAATAAAAATGAAATGATAATCAGTCATATTGTCTAGTAAAAATCCTTAACCTTTTCATAAACTGTTAGCTATGAATGAGGATATAGTTGACAGTATTTTGCATCTGCATTGTTATCAAATAGATTCCCAAACTGATCGGATTGAGTGATCATCAATTAATCAGAGAAAAAGTTGTTTTTCAGGGGGTCAAAAAAGTGGTTGATGAAGAAGTGAAAATAATAGATAACAATCATAGTGTATATAAATTTATTTTGACCTCATTACACGTAGTAGTTCTGTGTCCCAGCAATTTAGGGACACTCTTTATAGTTGGTTTGTTGGTGTACCATATGGAAAAAGATACAGAACTTCCAATGATTCCTTAAATAGTACCGAATTTTCATTATTTTAATAATCTATTTTGCGTACCAGTTCACCACACCACAGTTATATAAAATCCATTATTCAATATGTGAAAACACAAATCTGTATTTGTTATGTTCACTTGGTATAACCCATAGCGACCCGGATTGATAAACGGTCATATAGTGATTGGTATTCAGTTTTTAGTCGTTCTTTGCATTTTGGATTCCGAAATTTACTATCAATATAATTCATTTTCGCACGCCGCTGTCGTTTGAGGAAATAGCACAGTCTATCGTTACCGTTTCCCTTCCCCTCAACCCGCTTGCCTACATCTCTAAGACTTCAAAACATTATATGCTGAAAGTATAGAGTTGCTGTGTCCTTCTTTTTTATACGTCCATGAGTTCCTCTATTACATCTTGTGATAATATGCATACCATTAGATTTATTCTATCTCATACTTGTATCATTATTCGTTGCTGAGATATGGCCGACAGTTGTTCTTAGTTGTTCACCCTGTACATAGGCAGGATATGCCATTAGTGCAGTATTTTCAGCAATATTTGATTAAATATTGTTCAGAGCATAGCTATACTTCGATAAACTTCTAGTCATTTGCGCAATTTGGTCTTTCCAGTCCAACCTCTGATCAACGCTCACACCTAGAAATGTTACTAATGATTCAGATACTTTCATTCGTATTATTGCAGTTACGTGATATGTGTTTGCATTATCAATCGAGTGTGGAAGACATCAACAAGTTGTACAGGATATTATCATCACTAATATCTCTCAAATCGTAAGAGATACAAGGTCGGTTAAATTATATCAAAGTTGCGGAATATCATGTATATCAAGATGCTGTTCTGAAATTAAAAATATTTCGAAAACTTCCAAAGATAATTGGGAAAAACCAAATATTCTCGATTTCATTTTTATTTTCTCATTACTCTATTTGAATAGATGTGAGAAAACAGATTACCCATTCTCGTTGCTATATACTTTTTTGTTCTTCAAGATGGAGTTTTCCGATTTCCAAATCGCACTCATTTAAAAAATTCATATCATTGGCATTAGAACTCATGTGCCAAAATGAAAATGAAATCGCGATTATTTGGTTATCTTCAAAAATATTCGGGAGAACTCGAATGTCATGAAATTTCTAAACTTTACTATGATATAAACTCTAACATAATATAACCTAGTCTTTTACGGTTTACGAAATCTCAATGATGAAGCACGGGTTTCAGTCACCCAGTACATATTGCCACTTACCGACATGTATATATTCCTCGGAATTGAAACCTATCAATGTTGGTATTTTCTTGATGTTTCCGTCCATGAATGATTGAAGTCCAGCATAAGAGAATGGACCATCTTTTTCTATTACCGTTCCATATTTCTTGTTGATCTAAATGATGCACAATGATATTATTGATATATTATATATTTATTATATCAGAATAAAACAAAATTAGAAAATTCCAATCCAAACGAAATCTTCTTAATCGTATTTTTTGTCCAGGAGTTTAGTCCCACATCAATAGTATGAGAATATAAGTTATATAACTATAAAGGCAAAAATGAACATGCAATATTATTTTCTGAATCTTCAAATATATACAACTCAGAATCTCTAGCAACTCCGCTTATATTCCAACAATAGTTCACCTACCAATTCATAATAAATAAAATACCTAAACCCAGTGATAGATTCTAAAATTCTCCCATGCTTTGCGATGACTCCCTGATCAATGGAGTAGTCACGCTCCTGAAATTCCAATTTTGATGTTCTTCTCGAAGGTATCAATGATAGTTTGACAATTACCAATTCCGAATAATGCAAATGAGGTAGTGAGTTCGCCACTTTTGTCAGCTTTGGATGATTCCCAAGCAAATTTGGAAGTCTGACATCTTTTAGTTTCGATCCGCTCAGGAGATAAGTTCGTTACCTCCCTGTAGTCGCGATATCTATTCTGTATCTACCCTTTCTGATACATGATGAAGACATCGCTTGCATCAGAAAACTGCGAACAGACTCCATCTTAAAATATTTGTAATTTGGAGAAACTATCACATGTTCGTTCCACGCCTGCTTATTCATATGTGAATGAAAAAAATATTTATTTATCGCAGGACAAAATATCTCCTTCAGCGATCCTATCCAGTCACATCTAGGAAACAATATCTACAGACAGTATTTAACAAAAACATCAAACAAAATAATTAATTGAGTATTAGCAACACTAGGAGAAATATGATTGTAAAATACAATCGCAATTCTAATAGACCGGCAGGTGGTGATATATATCCGCATGTATGCCTTCTGGACGGTATCATTATGTATTCATTTTGAAGGTAAAAAATGATATACGAGAGAATCCTCCCAGGTTCTTCGAACATTGAACTCAACTAACACAATTCGTTCGCAAAACATGCGTTTCGTTACAATTTCAGTCAAGCTGCTTGTGTTCCAATATGAAATAAAAGTGATATATGCGTAGTTGAAGAAGGCATACTGGTTGCGTAATCCCAAACTGTAATCACGTTCTGTGTAGTCATTTAAAACAATCATTCTCTCTTGTTTTCAAAAACACTGCCATCATGAACCCAGCGAGCACAAACATCCCTGGAATGTTTATGAATTTTTTGAAAATGTTGGCATGGAGATGTTTTTAGAGACGTAATTTGCACTTCCCAAAGAGGCCTTTGAAGGATATTGATTCCAGTAGCACATAATCTAAGCTGGGTATTTGCCCCATATTCACCCAATATTTTCGATATTGGGCCAATATGGAGAAATGGAGCCAATATCCTGCCGAGATTCGTGTATTGTTTTTGTTCATCTGTGGCATTTTTTTGTGGGCCTACTGAGAGGTATACCTCGGATGTTTTGAGAATTCAGGCATCAGGATGTTTCTTCGAGATATGATATGCATACATGGAGATATCTTTCAAGGATATCGAAAGTATTGTTTTGTTCGTGTGTGGCCTTCCTCTGTTCTCCAACCGAGGAATTGTCCCTGGGATGTTTTGGGATGTTTCTGTAATGTTGACAAGATGATGTTTGTTTGAGACCAAATATAAACTGCCCAAAGATTCCTCTTAAGGATATTGGAAGTATTGTTTTTGTTCTGCTCTGTCATGATTTGTTTGACCCACCACAACGTCCAAGCTTACGTTAAAATACGATGGATTCTAATTTGTTTCCGGTTTTGTTGTTCTTGTTCGCATTCGCGTTTGCAGCATTTTTTCATTCCATTATTACAATACCAACATCCTTAATTTTTTTTCAGCACAGAGGCAACGGCGTATCGTCGCGCATAATCCATAATAATATCCTAAACAGCTCAGAATATTTTACGAATGCTCTGACAACGTTCAGAACGTTCTTATTTATTCTATAATATTCTTATAGAATGTTTCCAGGATGATCGTAAAATATTTTCTTTCCGGCAACAAATTTTATGTATCAATATCAATGTTTCCCCAGCCTCACCCTTTCATTCTCTAGCCTCAAAATGTTTATTATTTTCCTGAAATAATGAAGTGTCTCTCGACATCTTTCTATTCATATAATTTATCAATTAGGTTCCTAAAGTAGAGTGGACAATTTGTGAGAATTGTAATAATTCAATTACAAGGGATCAGGTTCGATTCTTCAGTGGGAATTTTTTTTTTCAATTTCCTGCTTTTTTCACAATATACCCACCAGGAATGGTTTATTTTTAGCGATTAAATGGTTTATTGTCCATGAAAAAGATTGCAAAAAAACCAGAGCTGACATTGGCTGTTCTATGGAAGTTCTATCAATGTGTGAACAGGATGTCGCAGTGAAGGTTCAATGTCTCGACATGTCGTAGTTTCAACCTCTCTGAGACGATATTGTGCTCGCTGGGAAGTATACATATTTGTGATATACATTTGCTGTGGACAAAATTATATATAGTTTGCGCGGGTCCAAGAACACCTCAATCTTGAAAACATGCCTGAATGCATAAAGAACCCGGTGAGATTCTTTTATATATCAATTTGGTTATCAAAATATAGAGGTAATGATAGCCTCCCAGAGGCATACTGGGTGGAAGCACGTCCAAGAAACTGTCACAACCTGCCGGTCTATGAAGAACTCGAAGATAGATAATCATTGAAAGGAGGAATGGACTGTATCAGGTACCAATCGTTACAAATATCCTTCTTTTTTATAAATATCTGTGGTTGACAGAGTAAGTTTTGTTTGGAAAAAAATAGTAGAAGACAACTTCAACCTAAAACAGTGTCACTGACAATGAACCAAATGAGCTATTGACAGATTTCATCGAGATAAATAGTTTCCAGACCACTAGTGGTCATATTCCAACAAACTAGAAATGTCGCGTGAATTGCTTGCCTGAAAACGCTTCTGCTCCATGCGCAGGAACCCTCAAACTGCCGTTGGTGATAGCAAGACATGTTTCTTGGTGTTCGAAAACATGGACAAAAGTGAATGAAATACAACATGACAGAGAGCTTCACTCAATTAAATTTCTCACCGAGTAGGTATACTAACTCACTTTCAGAATGTCTTCCGGTGCAGCATTCTGCAGAACAGTGAGGAGATCTTCAGATTCACTCGAATTGAACTTTTTGTCTAGCTGACGTCCAAGATCAAACGCATTCGCCCTGGCATCAGGTTGACTCAGATCACCTAAGGCTGCACCACTTTCGATTATGGCAGCGTGAAATGACTCTGCAAAATAATAAAATCAAATTTCTATGGAATTCATACTCAAAATTCTTTTAGAAGAGAAAATATATACGGAATTCGGCAGAATAGCACAGTGATTGCGGCGCTCGACTAGTGATAGAATCATCGAAAGGTCGCTAGATCGAAAGCCCAGCAGAGCAGAGAATACTTTTTCATAGCACCAGTTTTAAATTGAAATTTGTGTGGCTTTGGCTATGTATTATTCCGCATTATTCCAATCAACAGTGCTGTTTATTAGGTGGCGTATGGAGTAATTAATAAAGCCTACACAGAATACACAGGGGCTGGAGGAGATTGATACCGAATTTCGGCCTGTAACAATAACAATCACTATTATCAGTTTTTACAGTGCCGTACTCTTTATTGGAATAAAAGAAAGTGAATTTTTCATGAAATCATATTGGGAATTATTTTGCAGCAAACCCAACTTCATATAGGCTTTGAAACCCGCGTATGCAAAAATTCACCTCCTTCCGAATTAACAGGATTGTCCCAATTCTTTTTCATTATCTGCCACGCAAAAATGGAGAATTCAAATCAACTTCAAATTTCTGAACGTTCATGGGATATGACTATCATTCCGTGCTCGTTAAACAATATACCTACTGATTTTTGGCATTCTGTTTCTTCTTATTCGCTGGATGAAGTTTTATTTTTCTCTTCATTATTACATCCATGGAGATCACATATGAATGATTGAAAAGAGAAATAAATCCTTCATCAATAAATGCAAGATCAAACACGCGAAATAGTTCTTCAATGATAATGAAAAATTATACAACGACCAGTTTATCGATGAATGTCGTGATTGTATCTCGAAATTCAAAATGCCCCAACAAAATATAAGCTTTTTTCAATGAGAATTGAAAGAGAATAGGTTGATAGTATATTATGTAACAAGTGTTATAAACAAGCATTTTGAGCACGAGCGGAGCAGAGCGGAGCGAGTGATGAATAACGAGTGTCTAGAAGAGTTTATAAACGCGTAACATACTATTCTTTTTCTGCGAACACATATATTGGAACAGCATAATAATATTTTTCATTGTTAATATGAATGAATGAATGAATTTCTCCGCTAGTCCATAAAAAGATTGTATGTGCGTTCGAATTGACTACGAGATTTTTGTCGTAGCAATTTGTCGGAAGCTGTGGCTGCTGCATGTAATATTTCTGGTGGTGTTCCCATTGGAACATCTTCGTTTTCACTCTCACTTTCGTCTGCAACTGCATACATTTTTGATGAGAAAACTCTGATGAGAACAGAAACTGTTCGAAAAAGACTGATGAATGACAATTGACAGCTCTAACAATTGACAGGTCAGGCAGGCCTAGATCAACTACATGCAGGCAGGGCTCACACTCCACACAACTGAAGATTTGTTCAATGAACTGTGTTGCCATGGTGATGTAATCGATCATTTAGCGTGGTACATATCCGTACGATAAATGCCACTTTAGTTATGTCATTAGAAAAAACCTATTATCACGCACTTTGCTATCAAGCAAATGATATAGTTGTTCATGATGATATTTATCAACCGCAGAAACAGAAAAAAATCAATAATTGGGTTCAAAAACATATATCACTTCAGTCACCATGCTCTCCAATCTGAAACTAATTAGGAAGTAACTTTTGCATCTCAATATTCATGATAAACACTAGGTACCTATAGGTAAATAGAACTTAAATCCTCTACCCAATGATGAATTCACTTCTAGGGAATGATAGAAGTGGAACTTTCCAATATTTTATTCGCGCCAAATATGACAAAATAATAATAATAATAATAATAATAATAATAATAATAATAATAATAATAATAATAATAATAAACGCTTTTATTGATAGACAGAAAGAACAAAACAAAAATACATTAGAGGAAAAAATAAGTCTATCTATCAAATGGCAGAGTTAGCTCTTGAACGTTCCCAAAAGGAAACGAGGAAGTGCTTTCTTCCACTCAACCTTGTCAAAACTAAAACTAGAGTGTACAATACATATTCTGAATAATATACTTAATAACGAATTTGGTACCAGTGAGCCTGCGCAGGTCCGGACATACGATCAGTTATCGAAAATTTTTATAGTATATATATGTATATATATATATATATGCAAAACGTCTTATACACCTCCAAATATTATACTCTGTGAACGAACACGCCTCAAAAATCGGAGGCGACTTCGAAAAATCGGAGGCCAAATCGAACACCTGTGTATATCTGATTCATTCGCATGGTTACCTACTGGAAGCCATAAAAACGAACTTTCGATCAGAGGCCATTTCGTCAGTCACACACATACAGTTACACGATGTAGTTCACTGTAGGAACACTAGAGGCGCCACCGTTTAATACACATATACACTTTGAATAAATGCTCCAGCCGAATGAGACTCCACATGGTTTGATGTCAATAGACACCCAACATATGGCAACATTGTTCGGAGGTAGATTATTACGGCGAGTTCAGATTTGTATGTATAATTCAGAATTCACGTTTTATCATTTTGGAATGTGATTTGGATTCCGAAAATGCTGAGGACCGTTAATATAATAGTTTACTTTCTCACATCATGAAATAATGAAAACGAAAATGAGTTTTGTAATTATGATCCGATTCTATTAAAAATTGGTATCTGGGGGTTTTCGGGGTCGAAGATTATGATTCTTTCATCAAAGTTGGAAAATACAAAATGGCGGTTCCAATATGGCGGACGAATTTTGTAATTATGATCCGATTCTATTCAAAATTGGTATCTGGTGGTTTTTAAGGCCGAAGATTATAATTCTCTCATCAAAATTCAAAAATTCAGAATGGTGGCTCCAATATGGTTGACGAGTTTTGTATTTATGATCCGATTCTGCTGAAAATTGGTATCTAGGGGTTTTCGGGGTCGAAGATTATGATTCTTTCATCAAAATTGGAAAATTCGTAATGGCGGCTCCAATATGGCGAACGAGTTCTGTAATTATGATCCGATTCTATTCAAAATTCGTATCTGGAGGTTCTCGGGGTCGAAGATTATGATTCGTTCATCAAAATCAAAGAATTCAGAATGGCGGCTCCAATATGACGGACGAGTTTTGTTATTATGATCTGATTCTATTCAAAATTGGTATCTGGAGGTTTTCGGGGTCGAAGATTATGATTCTCTCATCGAAGTTGGAAAATTCAAAATGGCGGTTCCAATATGGCGGACGAATTTCGTAATTATGATCCGATTCTATTCAAAATTGGTATCTGGGAGTTTTCAAGGTTAAAAATCATTATTCTCTAATCAAAATTCAATAATTCAAAATGACGGCTCCAATATGGCGGACGAGTTTTGTAATTATGATCCAATTCTACTAAAAATTGAAATCTGGGTGCTTTCGGAGTCGAAGATTATGATTCTTTCATCAAAATTGAGAAATTCGTGATGACAGCTCCAATATGGCGAACGAGTTTTGTGATTATGATCCGATTCTATTCAAAATTCGTATCTGGTGGTTCGTATTTCTAGAAGAAACCTAGTTGATGTGAATATACCTAAACTACTGTTACAAATCAAAACACGAGTAACACGCTGACGAGAGCAATTAGTCACATAGCAAAATTTTCTCCATATCAGACAATGTAGTTTGTTTTTTCTAGGGATGCGTAGAACTACAAATGACGAAGAACACTACTTCTCTGCAAGATAAGGAAATTTGGTCAATATTCAACTTGCTCTAGCACCTCACCCGTTAGACCTTCATTCATGAACAAAAAGAATTATTTATATAAATTTTCATCTACTTCAACTTTTTCATGGAACGGCTTCATCAAACAATTCATAGTTTCCAAGTAACGGGTACAAAACTGAACGTAGTGCGAGAATTTCTCTGTTTTTTTTGCGAATATTTCGAAACGCTCCAGGAAATTTTGTTTCCAAACTTCAGATCCACATTCAGAATCTCCAGTAGCATATGGTACCGCAGAGAAATCGACTACTTGATTTTTTTCACGATCGTTTTACTGAGCTATTCGTACATATCTTTAATAGCACACAACGTCCAAGGGACGTCCCTATTTGGTACAATTCACGTCCGAATGTCCCAAACCAAAAATAAGTGTCCTTGGGACGTCCCATCCCGTACATCTCATGCAATGTCCGAGCAAGGACGTCCACGGAATGTCCCAGCTGTGATACATCATCTCAAATGTCCTAGAAATGGCATCCCTTAGACGTCCCACGTGGTACATATTGTAGAATGCCCATGCAAGGACGTCTTTGGCATGTCCCTGATGGGATATGATTTTAAACGTTCCTTTAGGGACATCCATCGGATGTCCCGAGTAGTACATATACTGGCATGACTTCTTATATAATGTCCTTTTTAGACAACCATGAAATGACCCTGATGGTACATTCCTTCAAATATCTCTGCACAGGCGCCCTTAATATTTCCAGGATCGTATAACAATCTAAATGTCCATTAGGGACGTCCTTCGAATGTCCGTCGGATGTCCCAATTGGTACATGAACTGTACTCTCCCAATGTCCTTAAAATAATGTCTTATGGACGTCCTAGTCGGTACTTTCAATATGTTGTCCCTGCGAGGACGTTAACTTACACCTCGCCGAATGATTGCTCGTAGGCTATAAGTACTCCTCGTCAATGTCCTTCACGTAAGTCCATTGGACATCCTTGGGAAACTTTTTGGGGACCTTCTACGGACCATCAACTCAAGTGGATGTCCTAATCAGTTATGAAAGATCTGGTCCTGAAGGGACCCAGACAAATTCGAATTCAAAAATAATTCGTACGTCTCTGGGACATCCTATGAACATCCAATTGATATCCCTCAGCGTTGCTGATAGGTTGTCCTATGGATGTCCTAAGGACGTCCTCTGTAGTGCTTGATGAGGAATACTGTGGGATTTAGGTATTCGATAGTTGTCCTTGAGGAACGTCCCTAGTTGGTCCTCAAGTGGGACATTTGTGCGTCCCACAGACGTCCAATGGACGTCCACGGTACCAAATTTGAACGTCCTATGGACGTCCTGAATGTCCCGACAGGACGTTCTAAGGATATCCATGGGATATAAGTGTGTTATTAGGGATACTATTGATCACTTTCATAATTTCAAAATGTAAATTGTATTTTTCAATCCACAGCTAGACTCCACTGTTCAACATCATGTCCTTGTAATAAATTAACAAAGCCCATGGCCATGGGCGAAACCTTTTTATAAATTCCTACTATTTTAATTCTACAAACAAATCAAAAACCCAAGAAGCCTCCCAAAAAACTATTTATTCATGAACTTATTCATTCGACATGAAATAACACGAATTCATCACAAAATCACTACTATTTTGTTTCGAGAGGTTTTCGAAACAGTAAGTACGAAAGTAGAGAGTGAAACAATATGATACAAAAAGCAACAAGTGGCAGTCATATCCATCCCCGCTCCTTTCATGTATCGGCAACACCGCTGGAGGTGAGTACTGCATCTACATATCTTGAAATTATACAAAAGAGGCCACTGAGACGTTTCTTGTTCCGGAGCCCTATTACATTTGAAAATATGGCAAAAAATTGTATATAAGAAAAAGTTCGAAATCATTACCCCTCTCTTGATGCCCTTTGTACTATGACCTCATTCATTCAAATGGAACACAAAACACACAGAAATCTGCTTCCCTTGAGGTGGAGGCCTGGTCGCCTTATAGATGTATGGAGGTGAGTAAGATACCTGTGCACGTATATATACATATACATACACATATACAGGGTGGGTCACGGTAGATGGCACCTTACACGTTTACGGAGAACGGGACATAAGATCATTCTGAAAATTTGGTTACTCAAGTATATGCTCTTGATCTATCGATCTAAAATATTTTCAGCCCTGCGGCGTTGCCGCTTCTATCGAAAAGTAGCAACAACTTTGTTATTTTAAATGGAACACCCTGTATTTTATCGCATTTTCAGATTCTCTCTGGAAAGCTGATTTCATCGATGTATCTCACTTGGGGTCTAGCGGAAATGATTACAGAGATATAGGGTGTGAAAAATCGACATTTTTCAAATTAAGGAATTTTTTTTGTCGAAACTATTCATTATTGGTCAAAACGGCTTACATGTCCCAATTTCAACTTTTGATTAACCATCTACTGATATTTAATTGGGACATATACCGGGTGATCAAGAATCTGAATTCTGCACCACCCTGTATTTGTTTCCCTGTTGTTGATTTCAGATTCGTTTTTGAGGTGATCCGGGATGGTTTGTGCTGCATTTTTGGAGTGAATATTTGCTTTCTTGAGCTCTTTCCAGAATGTCTTATTATTTTTATTATTTCTTATACTGTATTGCAAATATAGGCTTTCTTTTCGCGGATTATTACATACTTAGTTTCGTTTCTCATATCTTTATAAAAGTTCCAGTGCTTCACTAACTTAGTTCTTTTGTATCTCACTAGTGCTTTATCCCTGATTGACATAATTTTTTTGATTACATGAGTAATCCATGGAGCCTTAGGACGTGTGATTTTGATAGTTCTCTCAGGTGCGTTGAAATCGAAGAGTGCGAGAATAATTGCATTGAGTAAAGATACCCTAACGTCAATATCGTCTGTAAGGTATATTCGAGAGAAGTCTATGTTTTCCAAATCAGTAGAAAAATCAGTAGAATTAAAATTGTTGTAGTCTCGAAATGTATGAAGAAATGCCCCAGTTAGAGTTAAGATGATAAAAACATGAGGTAGCGACAACGTTGTAAAAAGCTCAGTAGTTGCCATACGGAGTAAATCCTACCACAGCGAAACCATCTTGGGAAGGTGAGCGTTACCAAAAACAAAATATTCGAAGTTGCGAATTTTTGTGAGTCTGAACTATGGAAATGGTGATTGTCAGTTCCAAAGTACAAGTTTGTAATAGTAGATTTCTCATTATCGGAAAGCGGCATATTGAAGAAATATTCTAACGACCACTACGATGTTACAATTATTTATATAAAAGTTTTAATCTCCTCCTGAAGATGCTATGTGTGTCGAGTCGTATAAAAAATCGGTCTGGTTAGTGGTGAAACAGTGTAGTGTATAAACATTGCATATTTTATTCATACAAACTCATATAATCTTTGTAGGAGTTTTGCAATGGATCGTTTAGCAACCGCTTACAATACTGGTTTTACCTGTTTCCCCATTCCATTGTCCCAATTGATGGAAACCAACGCAAAGTGCTCCTGCACTTTCACCTGCGATTGTTATATGATCAGGATCACCACCAAATAAAATTATGTTTTCTTTGACCCATTGGAGAGCGAACCTCTGATCTTTCAGACCAATATTTGCAGGTATCACGTCGTCTTCTGTTGTCACAAATCCTAGAAAGAAATTATCACAATATGTTCAGCGCCGTACGAATTTTTGCCAGTTGGTATCACTTGGAATTTGAATTTGTCGATTGTTCAGAAGTAAATCACATTGGTAACTCGTAATCCAGAAATTGTGATTTTCAGATAAATGCATTTTCATTCAGAAAGCGTCACTTAAGTTGATAACCAGATCTCAGAAAATACTCAAATGAGAGTAGTAAGCAATGAATCGTTCATAATGCAGTACGATGACCTGCAAAAATAATTATTGTTCCTCCGATATTAGGAAGTAGGCCATGATTGCTCACAGTGAAAAGGTTGGAGAGAGTTTTGTTGAGATGACTCCGAACTGTCTTCTCTTATTCCTTTTGTTAATCGTATCTTTTGTCTGATCAGTTTTGCAACATCCTGAACAACTACTTCAAGAAGTCCAAGGATCTAAATTCACATATAAGACTCCACTTTATCCATATAATTTTGGTTGGGTTCAATATTGTGGATTAGGAGGTAAAACGAGGGGTATTCTGAAAAAATTATAATGGATTGTTCTTTCCGGGATTACAGTTTCTTTTGCTTTCTGAATGACATGTCACATTTTTTGACTATCTGGAATACATTTTGGGAATTCTCGAATGACAATTGAATATGATCCAGCTACTATCCGTGTTTCGTGAAAAAGCCATGTGTCTTTCTGAAAATCATTGACCTATTCATTGTGTTAGAAAATATGATATAATCTCTATAAATTTTACTAGCACATGCATTTTTCTTGGTTTGTTTGAAGAAGTATAAAAATTCTCTCATGATAGAAAATGTTATAGTTACCAAATGCTGCTAGTCTATAATTGAATGTTACCACTACAACTTCATAATCCATAATATATTTTGGTCCATAATACTGAAAAGCGCCTGACTGGCCAACCAATCCTCCTCCATGGATCCAAACCAATACTGGAAGTTTAGTTTTGCTTCCAGGTTTCTAGAAACAGAACTATGTGTTTTATTTTCTTTCTCATTGCAGCAAAAATATATCTGCATGAAATTCAAGTATGATTCGTCAGGTAGGAATACGAGCCCTCAGCAGCATGATGTTCATCAACCAAATAAGAGAACTTTGGTGAGACTACTAAGACGTAGGGTAGATACCAATGGTGATATTTATGGTGTTCTGATCATGGACGTATAAACAAGCATTATCCAAATTTAAATGAAGCTTCGACTAGTACTCAGAATCAAGCTGAGTTTTTTTTTTTTGGGTGCCATATTGTCATGTAGTATATCTTAATCAATTTTTCATTCATCTGAATTCGAAAATAATTATTTTTATAAAATAACATTCATTTCAAATCCAATGAATTGCATGACAGGCATACCTAGACAGGAACTAAAGTTTCCTATTACAACTAATATTTCTATAACCTGTATGAACTCAGATTGAACGTAAAATACATTGATTCTAAAACTGCTGAGATATATGAATTAATATACCATCAGAGGGGGAAATATTGGTTGGAGTAGTTTGAATATGAAAAATAGGAAGTCAGTCTACTTCGGGCGTAGAGCAGGAAAGGTTCTCTGAGCCCATTGAAGATGGTTCCCCTAGTATCCGAATTGTGAGTACACTTTTAATTGTTTTATTGAATAAACATGTTTCTTTTATGTTTTTAAATACTCTCTTCATTTCTTTGTGTTCCACAATTCAACAACAACCCTCTCAAAGCCAAGCGAGTAAGTAAATTAAGTCTATGGAATTAGTACCCTCAAGGGGGGTATAATATTTTGGAAAGGTCGTCATAAATACATACACGACATGTGGTGGAGGCTTGCCGTGCTCTTTCCTCTAGCTAATTCTTCATAATTAGTTAGAAATTATTTTGGATTTTATCAGTGGAACATAAGAAATAAGAGAGTTTCTGATTTTTTAACATAAATATTAATTTTCAAATTTTCAACACACTTTATTACCCATCTCGTTAAAAGAAAATTTTATACATATTTTTTACTTTATAATTTCAATGTCATATATATAATTATACCTATATACCTATTTCTATACCCTCTCTGTCAACCTTTCCTATACAAGTAACTATAACCGAGCCAGTTCAGGTCTCCCAACATCTGGCTAGGGAGTGGTTACTTACTATTCCAAATCTTTCTGTTTCAACCTCATCAGTTCAGGTCTAAAAAACATCTGATGAAGTTTCTGTCTCAAACCTACCACCAAAACCTCATCCCAAATCAATTGTAAATAAATAAAAATAAACTATGCGAGATGGTTAGGAAGAAACCGAGTAAGAAACAAAGACAAAGATCAAGAGAACTGAAAAACCTCATAAAATGCACTCTGAGTCCCATTAGAATTGTTGAATACCCCGATTTGCCATTAACCCCTCGCTATATTGGCCCTAGTGGGCCATTATTTTCATCGGAAAATAAAGAAGAATTTTATTTTTTTCATGATTATCCAATAGATTTGGAATTATCGAGTGATAGACCACCAACACCTAGAACACCAGAACATTTGAAAAAGTAAATGAACAGTATAAACAACTGCGGCAACAGTAGTTAGTTAATTCAAATTTAGTTCAAACGGTATGTAAATACTACGTTATAGAATGAAATGACAGGTTAATGATTAAAGTGAGCAGGAGGATATGATAATTATAGTGAGCATAAATAGGTATGTCAGGAGATGACAAAAAATATAATCTGAGATCATTTAAAGTAAAATTGAAAACTCCTGATTGTAATAATTTCAGTATTGCTAACCTACCTGAGCCTAATGTGCGATCTAGATCATCTACCCAGGTAGCAGAGTGACGTCCAATTGACGTCATTTTTTGGTCATAAAATGACGAAGTGGACGTCCGAAAATGACGTCTGAGAGACCCTATAATGACGTCAAAATGTCACAGCCACATGACGTCATACTTAGACGTCATAATGACGTCGCAGAATGACCAATAAAGGACGAAATAAAAAAAATTAGGAGGTTTATATATATACGGTATTATTAGTACATGATAATAAACCACAAACCTTTGATGACATTCATTTTGTAACTACACGTTGTGGTAACTTGGTTGATGGTCCTCCCGGGCAGTCCTGTTGAATCCTAGCGCTATCGCTACTACCTATGAATCTCTATATGAGAATATCGTTAGCTACTCGTATTTGTACCTAAAATTATGTAGCGAGCGTCGGCGAGATGTAAGCTAATAAACTTATTTTTAGCTAAACTATCCATTTCTGAAAAATCCTCTGCAGCAGGTCGATTTTATTTCCGATTTGCCACATTTGAAAGTAAGAATCATATGTATACAGGGTGATCCACGTTTAAGTTAAGACGTCCGCGGCAATTTTTTCAATTAGAAACAATAATAATAACCTGAATAAGATACATTCAATTTTTGAAATATTCATGGAAATCTGAATTTAAAAATATATTACACATAGGGTTTGTATACAGTGTGTCCGTTAAATTGAGTCATCTCGCGTGAAGAAAATAAAGTAGCCATGCAATCAATGTACTATTATAACCATACAATTCCTTGCTGAGGAATCTCCCAAAATAGGTCGATTTTTATTTTAAATTACCAACAATATTGAGAAAAAATTGAATATACAGGGTGATTCAAGTTTGAGTTACAACGTCCACGACCATTTTTTCAAAGGAACACTCTATAAATTATTCGATTTTTGGAGTCTCTATTTAAAGCTGGATTCAAAAATATATGAGTCTGTATACAGTGTGCGTTCGTTGAATTAAGTTCTTTTGCGAAGTTGCGAATAAATTTGTTGAAAATTAAAAAAACATTTTTTTTTCAGAGAATAATGCTCGAAGCCGTAGAATTTCATTTTCATTCAAGCTTTATCTCATATTAAATCAATATATACAGAATGATTCGTGTAGGAGAAATTACGTCATCTATATATTTTAATGGCGATCCAATTTTACGAGAGAACGGAATTTAACGAACACCCTGTATACAAACCCATTGTGCGATATACATTTGATTACGAAAATTCAATAATATATATCCGTTTGAAAAATGTGTCGTGTACGTCATAATACAAACGTGTATCATCCTGTATATTTGATGATTCCTCCGTATAAATGACGAATTAGAAATAAAAGCCTCTCCTGTTTTCTCAGAAATATATAAGATAGATAGATATTGGATAATAATGAATTTATCCACTACTTCACGAGAGCATCTAATTTATTGGACGCACTTACCTATACAATCCACATGATTGTGTTAAAAATTTTCGAATTCCGCTTCCCATGGTTATTCCAAAGATTGAGTAATATATATATAAGGTGCTCTATTCAAAAAAATTGTCGTTATGGTCATAACTCAAACGTGGATCATCATGTATGTATATTCAATTTTTCTCATAAATATAGGTATGGCAAATTGAAAATGAAAATCGACCGTTTTCAGCAGATTCCTCAAAAATGCATAATTTGGCTGAAAATAAATTTGTTCATCAGTACTCACGAAAACACTCTATATACAAACACAAATTTAGTACGTACAATTAACAAACGATGAAAAAGTAAGAAAGCGACTGATTTTTCTTATTTGGTCGAATATACGACTTTGTAGGGACGTCATTAAGACGTCCAATATTGAACGTCAATAAGACGTCATGAAATATGACGTCATTTTTAGGTCCCTCTGAAGTCGAGGACGTCATTGACCAATAATGACCTAAAAAAGACGTCATTATGACGTCATTCCACTAACCTGTGCTACCTGGGTAGTTTAGATGCATTTGAACCACAATTTAGTAGTACTGTTACTGATTATAACCCTTTCGAAAAATCTAGGAAGCTATCTAGATCGCATATCAGAACTCAATCATCAATAGGTACCCCTAACTTAGACACTGAACTACAAACTGACCGAGTAACAAGTTTTCCACTAGAACAATCCTCATTTGAACAAAATAAAGATTCAAGTAGTGACGACTCTGAAAACGAAAATATCGAAAGACAGACAGAAGTGACAATAATTGACAACCACGAACATTTTGATAATAAGACGAATATCACTGAAGATATTGATAACATTACAAATATTGAGTTTACTAGTGAAACTATTCAACCGACAGACATAAATATGGCAGATGTAACACTAGCTGTGAGTTTAACAACCACAAATGACCCTGCAAGGCCGAAGTTTTTATGTCCACCTACTTTTAATCCATGTCACACCTCAGCGTCAGCATTTTTGAGAAATTACGAGAGAACTGCAGCGGCTAACAAATGGAATAATTCGTTAAAAATAGCATATCTTGAATCATTCTTGGAAGGTGCAGCGAGCCTTTGGTTTAGAAGATATTCATTAAATCCAAATAATAATAATAAAAAGTGGACTGATATCAAGGATGATTTTTCAAAAGAATTTGAGGGAACAGATAGGAATAAGACCCTTGAGAAAAAACTTTTTGAGCGGAAACAACTGAAAAACGAATCGATTAAGGCATATTATTATGAACTCCAAACAATCTTTGAAGAGTATGATCCTACTTTCGACTTTCAAAATTTTTTAAAATTCTTTGAAAATGGGCTAGATAAAACATACTATCAAAATTATAGACTTTTGCTACAAGAAAATATGAATTGGGAAAATTTCAAGAGGATAATTGATACATTAGATGATATATTCAGTCAGCAGGAAAATCTCGTAACTTCTTTGAATAACTTGACCATCTCACCAGAAAGACAAAATCTAGGACTAAATACATGTAACTGTAAATGCAACAACTCAAAAACAGACACGAACATAAATAATCCACATACGGAACCTTCGAAGAATTTTGACATACCAGCAGAACGATATTATAGGACTCAAAATCAATTTGCACCAACTCCCAATAACTTATACCCAAGACCTCAAAATTACAATCACCGTATGGGTTACCAAAATACACGATACAGAGGTAATTATTCCACAAGGCCATATTTTA